CGGCTAATGCAGCTTTACAAGTATGATACAAGTCGTGATGGTACTCACAGACAAGCCAGAGGTTGATCAGTCGATGCAGCCCTGCTTGTTGAAGAACTCATCGAGATCTATAGTACTCCTATTCCTAAGGGTTGGCGTGAAGTCAAAAAAATGATTGTATTGATTGGTTGATTGATTGTCTTTACAATAACCGGGGTCCAATATTTATACCTAGAACCTAAACATGAATCCTACTCAAATATGACTCATTACAATTCCTGGAATAAAAGAAAACATTCCTAACTTAAGATAACTTGGACTCTAGGTCCTGTTCGGCTTACCCCATATTCGGCTTTGTTCGGTTTGTTTTTTTAGCCGGAACAGTATTTTTCTCTCACAACAATTCAACCAGAACAGTGTTTTTCAGCCAGTTTCAGTCAAGATTCAGACCAATGAATGGGGTCCTAATCTTTTCCTTTTTATAGAGTCCGACATATTTTTCAATGACGCCATTCGTACGTAGTCCATTGACGTTATCTGCTGATGTCACCCAAAAAGAGCGATCCCAGTACCACATCTGAATCTGCTGATATCGATCCTTACGCAATCGATTCCTTGATGACACAATTCTAGAAGCTTCGAGTCCCCGCGTTCTCTCTGCTAAATTTTGTTGTAAACAATTACATTGTAGTTATTTTAAATCACTAGGTTCATGCCCGTGCGTTGCTACGGGACAGCTAAACTTTTGTACTAAAAACACACGGATTGCACGATAAGATAACAATATTGTGAAATTAACCGACATTAAGGTGACATTTAATCCAAAACGCAAATTTTGTGAAATTAATAGTCACAGAAAGCACGACATCGCAGGCTCATAAACTCTACTGTGTAGACCTAAAAATATAGATAGACTTTGAAAATGCAGAACCAATGCAACTATTATTCAAGAAACTCTTTGCTGGTCACTAGGAAGTTCAAAAAACTTTGAAAATGCAGAACTGATGCAACTGTTATACAGGAAACTCTTTGCAACTCCTAAGGTCATCAGTTGATTGAACTTTTAGTGTTCAGCTTATAGCTCGAGATAAATTCTCCATGAAGTATAGAATCAACTAACATACATGATACTCTAATAATCAATCCTTTAGTCTTCCACACATGGGTATCCTTTGTTTTGATGATGGTTGGCCTCCATCACCAATCCATGTAGCTCTGGGCGGTGTGAACTCACTTGCTCTGGCAACGAAGGAGATGAACTCGGAGACGCACTCCTACTGGCAACTTCATTGTGGTAAAAAAACTAAAATACTACACAGCTACATGATTAATATTTTAAAAAGGGTAACGTCCTTGTGGTAAAAAAACTACAACAATGGCAATGGAGATTATTAACTCAATAATGAGAGCCGAGGACCGATTTTTACACATGCAATCATATGCATATTACTGAGATCCCATTTTTATTTTTATCCATGCAAATTGCTAATATTTAGAACAGAAACAAATCTGTAAGCTTCATTAGGCACCTCCTTCCTGATCAAATGCACCTTCGATTTTTTTTCTAACTCACTGGCCATAGAGAACAGAGAACTGAAGTGTAAGTGAAAACCCACAAGTCAACTTGTAATGTTAATAGAGAGACTAAAGCTATTGAGTTACCTGGGAAACAAATGGGTTGTAGAGAGACTTAGTAATTCAAAGATGATCGAAATTTCAGAAATTTATGACGAGAGAAGTACCTACATTGTATACAAACTTAATGCACCAGAGAAATAATAACAAAATACAAACTTAGTGCACCAGAGAAATCTAGACAATGACCTTTCGAAGCTTGTTGCACTGCATAGCGAAGTCAGAAAATCTTAAAGTGAGATCGTCTCAACCTGCACCAAATATAAATTCCATATCAGTTAACTGCAAAGGAAAATAATCACTAGAATACAGGGAGAAATAAAGTGTGGCTGATTTCTTAATGGTGAGGAATAGATTTTCAAAATTGTGTGTCAGTAGCACGAGAGACTTTTCCTTTGAATTATATACAAATCTCACCCAAACATTTAGTGAGCACACAACATGAGGACCCTGGAGCCTACTAAGCATGATAGTTTGCTGAAGAGATCTTCCAAGATATATGCAGAACTTTTAAAATTTAAACACACAAAGTTGCTCATGGTAGAATGAAACTATAAGGCACAGAAGTTGCTCATGGTAGAATCTAGCCATTCACAAAAACTTAGAGAAGCAATGTCAATACAAAAATGCAGGTCCAAATCTATTCACTAAAAATGCTCAGTGAAAATATACTTTTATTAGGCATTTTATGGTAGTGAACTAAAGACACTGCAATTCTCATTCTTTCCACAAATTTACAATACCAACTTGCTTCAGTCATTCAATCTTCCACATAACAGGTAGGAATGACGCCTTATGTCGTTTATGCGGATGAGCCCCGGACTGTCTAAAGCGCATCATGCTAGGAAGCAAACTGACAAGTTCAGTACCAAGTTTCAGTCTATGTTTTGTATTATTGAACTCTAAACAACTCTACACTCTCTAGCTGATTGTTGAAATTAGAAAAGCTAACATGAGCTACAAGGGTCATGTATACAATTGATGTGAGTCAAAAGGTTAAGATGATACAATGAAACTGATATAACTAAAACCCGAACATCTATCTATGCCAGGCAAAATCACTTAAAGTTACATGCCAAAGAGAATGTGTTTTATAGGCAATCCAAAGTTGTATATATTCCTAACAATTGCATAGGGCAAAGAAACCTAAGCACTGACAACTAATGCTCATGAATTTTTTAATGTATACAGTTTCAAAAGGATAACTCCACCTTCCTCTCTCAGAGCAAACTGCATACATGTATTTTTATTATCAGTTTTAACTGTACACAATGCCTCTTGTAGAGCATATTTATCAAAGTATTTTTATACAACTAATGCATTAGATCTATCACGAATAAAAAATCAGCTATAGCCTTCATAGGACTAAAAATGATACATTGTGTCATTAAATGTAAAACTTTAACTGAAGCTTTGTTCATAAAAGGTGCGTGTCATTCATTAATTGATAAAAAATTCTCAGATAATCACACAAGAATTCTCAGATAATGGCACAAGAACTTAAGAGGATCAGAAGACCTGCATATGCAATCTGCACTATGAAGTAACATCGGCGAAAAGGATGAAATTGCCACAACTATGTATGGAGGAATATCATATCCTTCAATTTCTGACATACTTATTTGAACATGTGTGTTTCTGAATTCATGCCTAAACAACAAACGTTTAAACAAGACACATCTACATACCCTTGGAAAGAATGCAATCGATCAATGCAATAATCTAGAAAAATCAATAGCAGCGCAGATAGATCCTGGAGAACCTGCAGGACAGAGAGGAGGTTGGAGAGCTACCTGGAGATGTGGTTTGGGGGGCTTGCAGGCCAAGAACTCATGCAAAGGAGGCTCCATCGCTGGCGCTGCTTCTGTAGCGTCGTCAAGAACCCTAAGCGCCGCTTCCTCTTCACCATTGACCTCGAGAAGTGTAGCGAGATGGAGGCCACATAGCACGCACCACGTGCGTCCTCCACTACCACCGCTAAGTTCCACCGGGATCCGTGGCAAGGAAGGCCGTGGGTTTTGGACCTGGGCGAGGAGCGATGGGGATGGTGTTGCGGCGGTGACATGGGGTGCAGGGATGGGGAGCGGTGGCGTGTGCGGCCGCAGGGAGCGGGGATGGGTAGCGGCGGCGTACGCGGCCGCAGGGAGCGGGGATGGCGAGCGGCGACGTACGCGGGTGAGCGAGCGACCACGGGGATGGGGAGCAGCTGCGTACGCGACCGCATGGAGTGGGGACGGGGAGCTTAGGGATGGTCGCAGGGACGGGGAGCTCAGGGAGTAGATGCGGGCGCAGGGATGGGAATGGCGTGTGCGGCGGCGTGATTGATGGATGGTCGCAGTGCGTGATTGGGGGAGCACAGGGAGATGGTTGCAACACGTGATTGGCTGAGTGGAAGGGAGGGAGCGAGCGTCGCACGCCAGGCAGACCGACGTAACGATGTTTTTATCGCAAGGAACGGGCGTAGGAGAGCGAGGGGTGCGGGATCGCAGCACAAGGTACGATGGACCACGTTGGAAAGTTGCACCAAAACGATGTCCACTCTTTAGTCTTTTTAGTTGTAAGAGAGTAAGAGATATTGTCAACAACAACAATCAGTAGATTTTTCTCTATTAAATGTTTTATTGTTTTCTGGAATAAATATTAGTTGAACATATTATTTTCCAATACCATATTCATATTTTAAAAACGAAATCAAATGTTCATGTATCCATTTTTAGTCGTATATAACTTTTTCAAATAGAAATGTTGTTTCTGTTGGATGCGATTGGAAAATGTGGATTTCCCCTATTCATTTTCCATCCCAAATTGTTTATACTTGCTCCCACCCTAGTTATTAACTTGTCTTCTAGAGGAAAAGTATCTTAAGTGATCTTATAGTCACGATATATGATCTACTAGAAAGACACACCAAATGAGCGGGTATCGTATTTGGAAACTCGGTAGATATGTAACATAATTAGGGATACCAATGACCGTAATAAAGCTCAAACCTTATGATCAATGTAAACTCATAATAGGGTTATTATTTAAGGGAACGTAGCTTTGTTGAGTAAATAATCCTTAACCTAGCACTTTTACCCAAGTGCTGAAAATGCAGGTCGTCAAACTCGGAAAAAATGAGAAGGAAAGGGAACATCACAATATATCTGATATCACAAAGGAAGAGAATGTTTTGTTTATATTTTAATTTATTGCATATATAGTACCAACTGATCAGCGTTACAGAGTAACACAACATGTTAGCAACCAGATTATATATTTTGAGATGCAAGACGGTAATGTCCCTGCTGTACGGAATAGAGACACTGCACGAAGCTTCTCTAGCTCAATCTTCAGATTATCGACTAAAGCACCTTTGTCAATCCCTGCTTCATGATGAGAACCACTTAAGCAATTGTTGTCTTGTTCGCTTCCACCAATATTGCACCCAGTTCCATACTGATCTTGTTAACCACCTCCGCTCTAGGCACGCCATGTTTCTGCTTGGCAGTCAAAATCTGTATCCGGAGCTTATCAATAGCTTCCAAGAGCATCGACTCCAAAGATAAATCCATCACTGCCGTTTGGTCCCCGAGCACCTCCACATTTTCCTCGTGTCCATGTTGGTACATGTCGGCAATAATGTCCATGAACACAAGAGCCGCCTTCCTCGTGTCCTCCAATTCCTCCGCCTTCTCCTTAGCTTGCTTCTCTGCTGCTTCTTGGTACACATCTGCAGCATCCATGAACACCATTGCTGCCTTCCTCGTGTCCTCCAATTCCTCCGCCTTCTCCTTGATCTTCTTCTCTGCTACTTCTTGGTATGCATCTGCAGCATCCATGAACACAAGAGCCGCCTTCCTCGTGTCCTCCAATTCCTCTGCCTTCTCCTTAATCTGCTTCTCTGCTGCCTCTTGGTACGCATCTGCAGCGTCCATGAACGCCAGAGCTGCCTTCCTCGTGTTCTCGAGCTCCTCCATCTTGGCCCTAACTCTCTTCTCCGCTTCTTCTTGGTAAACGTCGGCGGCTTTCCTTGTATCCTCCAGTTGCCTGGCCAGTTGACGCTTGTGGCTTGATAGCTCGGCGGCTTTGTATTCCAACTCCCGTATCAGCATTCCTTGCGTGGAGGCCTGGCCTGAGACCATCCGAGCAGCCTTGGCCATCTCCTCCCCCAATTGATTCCTGAGGTCTCTCTTGGTCACCTCCATTTGATTCTCCAGGTCTCTCTTGGTCACCTCTATTAGGTCCCTCAGCTCGTCGCGCACGTTGGAAACCTGGCTGGATGTGGCACTACTGGGTTTGGAGCTGGAGCCCCCCATGTTGCCACGCACTCGTCGTCGTCTCGTCGGAGCCGGAGGTTGAAGAAGGCAGACGCCTCGCTGATTTCGCTGCGTCCTAGCCTCCTAGGTGAAGGATGCGCTAGAGCTAGCTCTGTCTCGGGGTCGGGGAGAATATATAATTATATATACACAAGGTGAGAGAGAGGACATGGAGTGTACATTGGAGAAGGATATTTAGGGCCTGCTAGGAATTGGAGAAATAGAGGAGAGAAGGGATAGAGTGTCGGTGTGGAACAAGCAAGGAAAGAAGAAGCAGAGGACTGAGTAGAGGAGAGGGGAGGTACGATGCATGGGCATGGATAGAGTGTGTCGGTGATGAAGAGGAATGGAGCATAGTTTAAAATTGCGGTATCTTTTTTTTCAGAAGCTATAAAGCTATAGCTAGCTCCGTCTGGGGTCGGCGAGAATACATATATATAAGGGGAGAGAGAGGGCATGGAGTGTACATTGGAGAAGGATTTTAGGGCCGGCCAGGAATTGAAGAAGCAGAGGAGAGAAGGGATATAGTGTCGATGTGGAACAAGCAAGGAAGGAAAGAAGAAGAAGCAGAGAGAGGACTGAGGCATGGATGGAGTGTGTCGGTGATGAAGAGGGATGGACTCCATCCGTTTTGTACTTTTGTCGGAGCTCAGCAGCTTACCCGGAATAACCGAAAACAATCCTGCCGGTGCCGACTTCTATTCCATTCCAGACCGACGCTAGTTGCCTGCGCTGTTGCCGCGCCTCCTGTTGCCACCTGACGGAGCCGTTGGGCGGCAGGCAGCACTCAAGATACCTATCCTCTAGGACTGAGATGAGTTCATAACTAGGGTGGGAGCTAGTATGAACAATTAGGGATGAAAATTGGATAGAGTTAATCCACATTTTCCAACCACATATTTACATCCAACAAATACAAATTTTGTATTTGAAAAATTCATACATGACATGAAAATGGATACATGAACATCTGAATTTTTTTTTAAAATATGGGTATGGTCGTGGAAAACAATAACCTCGACTAATATTTGTACAAGAAAACAAAAATGGCGTTTAGTAGAGAAAGGTTGTTATTATTGACAATATCATTTAAAGTAAGTACAATAGAATTGAGAAATTTGATTGAGACATTATATATTTTTATTTATGCATCTAACACGGTATTTGACCAAAATATTAGAATTATATTTAGGTAAAATAGTGACTTTCATATCTATTTGTCTGTAATTCAACTATAAAAAAGACTAAACAATTCCAAAAAAAGAAAACTAAATAAAATTTTATATTGTTAGAATTTTGTTCATCGATCTTGACATTTGATGAAATATCAACTCATTAGTTGACAAAAATATTGATATATGATGTTTCTTTATTGTAGTATGTAGTATTGAGAATATCAACCCACTGGTTGTTTAAAGTATTCTTCATCATATGTTTTTCTTTGTAAATAAAAAAAATGAGTTCATTTTGGGAATTTGTGTATGATGTTTGAATTCGTATTTAGATTTGAAAGATCCTATTTGTATTCGTATGGATATCTGAATGCATTTTAAAATCAGGATACAACACTACTAGTGATGAATATATAACACCAGGATCACGTAAGCCCTCCGCTAAACATGCTCACACCTTCATTAATCCCCCGACTATCAGTCAGGAGCTCAACGCCACACCCAGTGGGTGTGCTCGCGTGGCCTCACAGGATACCGATCATGGTCTTTGAGGCCTGAACCTCCCCGAGCAATGGTCGGTCTATTCGATGCTTTGGGGCTCCAGCTGAGCGAATGCGACACCACAAGGAGCACGCCCTGGTCTCGCCGCCCACTGAGGAGGCAGGTGCATAGGCTGACATGTCATCCCCCATAGAGTCTGAATCCTTTGGCGTATCATGGATGGTAAGGGCAAGTCAAATCGAGGACGGGAGAGCCAGGGAGCCTACTAGTCAGCCCACCTGTGTTCTTCACCTGTAAAAGCTAAGACTAGATATTGAAGTGTTGGGCATGACCACAGAGACGAGATGAAGTGACGCCCCGAACAAACAGAAGGCCAAGGCGACGAAGGACTTGGACCTTCCTTGGCGGCCAAGGAAGAGCGACCTTCTTGGCGGACAAGAACTTAGAACCACTTTCCGTACTCCCTTGCCCTTCGGAGATATAAGGCAGGGCAAAGGGCCCCTGAGAAGGGCATCAAACCCGAGGCAAATTATAGAACCACCATTACAAAACTAGCTCTCCACACTCTTCTGCCCTCTATTATAAACTCTTGAACACTCTAACATGAAAACCTCTCTACTGGACATATGGCTCGACACCCAAACTGGGATAAACCCTCTTATGTCTTGAGTGTTAACTACTGAAGTCTTATACATTAACCACTTAATCATTAGTCATGTTTACGAACTCACGAAAATTGGTGCACCAGGTAGGGTAGCGTCAAGTGTGTTCGTTCTCTGATCTTTAGTGGCTTGAATCGCCGGCAACACCAGAGATAGAGGTGTTTCCCATGGAGGCAGCGTCCATTTCTCTGATGATGTTCTCTCTGCTGGCATCGCCTTCCTTCTTGGCTAGGATCCTAGCTTGGGAGTCTAGACTACATCGCTGACGACTTCAACAAGCTCTGCCTTCGTAGCACAATGACGCCGGAGGGAATCGCACCCCGGAGTGCCCTCCTCTGGACGGCCTTCTATGGGTCGATCTAGAGATCCTCTATCGACAGACAAGCCTCGGCTTGGGCCCAAACTTAACCGTTAGAGAATGTCGTAGGATGTTTTACACCCATGCTAGCATTCACCATAAACTAGTCACCGAAGAAGAGCTGCCCCTGGCTCATCACTTCTAGTACGTGTACCCTGATATCTCATATGGGATCAGGAAAACAATCACCATCTTCCAGAACAAGCTTGAGTGTCTAATAGTGAACGCTACCGAGATAGAAGGAGATGAAGGAAGGGGTGTGCCGGGACTCCAAAGCCACCAAGGTGGAAGGAGATGAAGAAGGAAACACCTTTTGACTCGTTCGGCTTTTGGTCTTGACTTTGATAGGTCCGGTAACCGCCACTTTAGAAGCTCTCTCCCTAGGAGCATGTTCCAAGATAGGGGAGTATCCATCTTTCTAGCATCTGCCTTCGAGACCTTCCACTCCGCCATCTCCATCGAGAATAGATCACGAAAAGAAACATGTCGGCGATGGATGGAGGCAGTGAGTAATGGCATGCGCGGGGGGCGTCAAGACAAGGGCACGTGAATGGGACTTGCAGTGAAAGCAGGTAATATGGGGGGGAACCAATCTCCCCTCTCTTGCTTCTTTTATTGTTGGAGCTGTGAATCATCATGCCTCACCCCGTAACCCACGCCATGACTTGACCCCTATGCAGTGACGCTATCATCAGACGTGTGCCTAGTAATGGGGAAATAGGAGGCTATGACTCGCCACCATGTTAGTAGAGACAAATTTAGTTTTAATTTAAATGGGACAAAAGTAAAATTGTAGGTATTGTAAGTCCATACTTCCATAATTTTTATATTTGAAAAACAATTATGTTAATTACATCTATGGAGAGAGCACCCCTAATTAAGAGTTCAAACATGAGTACATAAAAATAAGATTACATCAAGCCTTTAGTCTTTTAGCCATAGCCAAATGGATATGCATGCTTGGTATAGACATGGACTTGATAACTGTCATTCCTTTTTGCATGATATTTCATTTGTTGAGGAGCAAATGTATACCCCTTGTATGATTGGTTTCTACCTTACTAAGCATCATGGCAAACACATGATATGAATGTATTTTGCTCATGCACACTTCTGTGAATATCTTGTTGTTTCTTTGGGCCATGACATAGGGCTAAGTTATAATAACTCAAGATACAATTTTTTTTAATTATTTGTGTATGTGTGCATTTTAAGTCACTACATACATTTTTTCATGTGTGTCGACAAGGCGGAATTGTTTTATTTAAGTGATGAACATTTCTTTAATGAATAGTGCATTGTATCATGTATGTATGTAGTTTACTTAGGCGATTAAATTTGAGGTAGTCTTATTAGACCATGCGAGATAATGATTTGACATATTGATGCACTCGCATATGTTGAAATATTTCATTTTGGCTAATGCAAGGTGTTTACCCTGTCAAGATTTGGGAAAGATATGTTGCGGCGCCGGAGTCATCCGTGGCACATGTAATTAACTTATTCATTCTTTTCTTATGGTATTTGATCAGAAATTTGCATGTACAATGCTTTTTTGTCCAATTTAATTTCTTTTCCATTTTTATAACTCAGTTAGAGATGGACTTTTATAGACCCAAATCCGATGAATTTAGTATGCATAAGCTAAACACATTACACAATAGAGCAACAATCTAGAAATTAACTCTACATTTGCTTATAAGGTCTGACCTAGTGTCACCCACGAGTGATGACCCTTTTGTCTCCGGCTCGAATTCGTTTAGCGATAGCATCGGTGATGAATTAGTCTACGATAGTTGGAGTGGCAGTTTAGCGATAGTATTGTCAACTTTTTTAGGCCGTCCTCTTTTCCTTCCTTGTGACCCTTTCCTTCCTTTTGTGCTAGCCATAAGGATTGTTGGAGTTCTAATTGGAGGCGGTATTATTTCCACATCATTGTTCGTAGCCTGTTCATGCTGGAGTTGTTCCTCCATATTGTTGTAAAGTAATTTTTCTCCAAATTATCGTAAAGACAAATGTTAGATTGACATGTTTTTTTTTACAGTCTGGAATCAGTTGTTCATAGTGGAAAAAATGTTAATATGCATTAGAAGTACAGTCCATCATAGGATTTTGGTATCAGTCTAAGCGTCTGATGTTGCGATTAGGATGGAGCAGCCTCATGCATATTTTGCAACTGAACTGTGGATTTGTACCTATAAATGAAAATATTGCATGTAATATAACAATCATTTTTTCAGTCTCTAGCAATTTGAAATTGACAAAAATTCTACTATTCACCTTTGTCAAATGCTGGGTCATTTGTTC